TCGGGATCCTGCAGCAGGACACGGAGCGATGGCCCCTCCGGCATGGTGAGGTGGAACTGCATGAAGGCCTTCTCCTGCTCTGGAAGCTCAGATTCCGAGGCCACTGTGGGAAGGAAAAGGGTGGGAATTGGCTCAGGGAGAGGTCAGGGCCACCCAGGCCACCCTGGCAGTGGGGACAAGGAAGCCACGTCCACGTTCAGGTGGCCCCAGTAACTTCAGCAGTGCCTTCCTCTCTTCCAGACATAGCCTGGGACAACCAGGACATCACTGATGGGCACAGGGATGAGCTATCCCAGGGAGAACTCCCCCCAGGATTTGGGATTAAGGGCAGGATTTGTCCTGGGCACAGCACAATATCCGGCTCTTTTGCCTCCCTCCTTCCTTTGCTCCCATCTGGAAGCAGATTGGAAATAGGGAGCCCTGGCTTTTCTCCACCTGGAGGTGTGGACAAACCAGAGAATCAGGGAATGGTTTGGCTTGGAAGGGACCTGGAAGATCATCCAGTTCCACCCCCTGCCATGGGCAGGGACACTTTTCACTAGCCCAGGTTGCTCCAATCTGGCCTTGGACACTTCCAGGGATCCAGGGGCAGTCACAGCTTTTCTGGGAATCCCATTCCAGCCCCTCCCCACCCTCCCAGCCAAGAATTCCTTCCCAATATCCCATCTAACCCTCTGGCAGTGGGAAGCCATTCCCTGTGTCCTGTCCCTCCATCCCTTGTCCCCAGTCCCTCTCCAGCTCTCCTGGAGCCCCTTCAGGCCCTGGAAGGGGCTCCAAGGTCTCCCTGGATCCTCCCCTTCTCCAGGTGAACATTCCCAGCTCTCCCAGCCTGTGACTCAAAAACTGGCTGATTAAAGTGTAATTAATTCATTAATTAATTAGGGAGCTGAGCCCTCCCTGCTGTGCCAGGGAACCCTGCACAGGCACAGAGCTCACAGTGCAACCCTGGGGTTTTTCCATGGAGACATGGACATGGAGACATGGATACAGCTCTCCCAGGCTCTCCAAGCTCCACACTGGGCTCCTTAAATCCTGATTTCCAGCCAAAGCTGTTCCTAATCCCTTCTGGCTCTCAGGGTTCCCCTTCCCTGGGCATAAAGTATGAGAAGAAGCAACCCAAAAAATTCCAGGGAGCTTTCCTGGGCCAAACAGAGGATCCCAAAAGCCCGGTGAGCAGCCTGGCATTGGCATCCAGAGGGTTGGGAAGTGGCAGCTCCGGGGCTGAAAGCTCTGCCTGTGCCATGTCAGCATTCCCTGGGGGATTAATCTGCAGTGTAAGGAGTTTGTTGCCAGCTGGTTACGGAAGCAAAAGATTTGTTATTCTGACAGGGAGGTCAGGGAGGGGCAGATCCCAACAGCAGGCAATAAAAAAATTCCCCAAATTAGGCATTTCCTGCAGATTGCTGCTTCCCTCAGCGCCTTTAATTCACCAGGACACCAAACAGCCTCCAAATTTTAGGGGAAAGGTTTTCCCCATGCTTTGCGACCCCACCCAAACCCATCTCCATCATCATCCTCTCCTGCTTCTCCAGCCTTCAGGCTGCTCCAGCACCACAGGATCCCAACTCTCTCCCGCCTCCTCCATCAATCCATCTGCAACACCCCCGTGCCACAAGCCCGGGGAGAGGATTCTGGGCAGGCTCTGGAGCGGGGGAGGGTGCCAGGACAGTCTGGCAGCCACCGGCGTCACGGGCACAGCACCGGTTTTGGCAAAAAAAAAAAAAAAGCCTCCTCAGCCACCCACCAGGCGATGAGGTGGCACCAAAGGTCAGGGTGTCCATCTGCTGCCCACCCCCAGAGCTTCTGCTTGTCCCAGAATCGCTCGCAGGGTGTCGGCGATGATGACGCAGATGGAGATGAGGGGGCACGTCCCGCGTCCGGACTCCAGCTGATTCCAAGGGAGACACCCCAGGCCAGCACGGCCACGTGGACCCCTGCTGCCAGCACCCCACCGCCCTCAGGCTCCCTCATCCATCCATGAGAGGTTGGGAATTGAATTCAAGATATTTTGGGGGTTCTTTTTAGTTTTTGGAGCTTCCAACAGGAGGTGACTCAAAGGGTGGTGGGTTGAGGACACAGGTGTGGGCAGCAGGCAGGTGAACCCCTGCTTAGCCCCCCAGTCCCAAAGGGGACAGCAGGTGATACCTTTTTGCTCCCTTTCTTAAGGAGGACTTTTCCCTGTGGAAACCAGAAATGGGGAGGGGGGGGGGCGGAATCTGTCCTAGGCAGGAATCGCTGAGTGGATGAAGAAGATCCCCAGCTCAGAGCATCCCAAAACCTCCAGGATTTTGGATCCATCTACCTGCTCATGCCTCCTTTCTTTGGAAATCCTCCCCCTCTCCCCCAGATTCCAAGCTGTCACATGGAACCAACTGATCAGGGAGCTCCTCCCAAGGCGGGAACTCACCGGGGCAGTCGCAGAGGGCGATGGCAGCGAAGTAGTGGGAGAGGGCTTTGAAATGCTCCGACTTGACGTGCACCATGGTGGTCCAGGAGAAGGGAACGTAGTCCTTCACGTGGGGCTGGGTCATGGTCTGGTGCACCAGCGAGTAGACATCCTCCACCTGCGAGGAGAGAGGAGGATAAGAGATGGGGGACGTCCATCAGGAGAAACCACCAGCGGGTTGTCCTCTCCTGGAGGGTTCTGCTGACCACGCTGACATCCCACCAAGCCCAACGGTGGGGGGTTCAACAAGGCCAAGTGGGGGGGTCCTCCACTTGGGCCACAATAATTCCACAGAGCTCTGCAGGTGGGGAAGAGAGGCTGGAGAGAGAGGGACCTGGGGGTGTGGATTGACAGCAATGGGACACAAGCCCAGGGGTGCTCAGGTGGCCAAGAAGGCTGATGGATCCTGGCCTGGCTCAGGGACAGGGTGGCAGCAGGAGCAAGGAAGGGATTCTGTCCCTGGGAGGCCACCCCTGGAGTGCTGTGTCCAGCTCTGGGCCCTCAGCTCAGCAAGGACATGGAGGGGCTGGAGCAGGGGCAGAGAAGAGCAACGAGGCTGGGGAAGGGACTGGAGCACAATTGCCATGAGGAGAGGCTGAGGGAGCTGGGGGGGCTCAGCCTGGAGAGGAGGA